CTCCTCCTCCTCCTCCTCCTCCTCCTCCTCCTCCTCCTCCTCCTCCTCCTCCTCCTCCATCTCCTCCTCCTCCATCTCCTCCTCCCCCTCCTCCTCCCCCTCCTCCTCCTCCTTCCTCCCCAGGGCCTTGTGCATGGGAGGCAAGCACCCTACCAACTGACCTCTGTCCCCAGCCCCAGAATGAAGTTGTTGAGCAGCAATTTCTCAGACCTACGTGTCTTTGGAGCCTATGTCCTCTGGGGTGGGTGGGACATACGTGTGGCCTCTTATAAATCTGTAGAAGGAGGACGGAGGGTCCCAGAGAGGGAAGACRGGACCCCCCCMCACACACACCCCATGCTACCAGCGTCTTTCCATTCTCTTTTGCAGGAAGATGAGGGCCCCTCTCCTCCTGCTGCTATTTCTGGGGGGAACCCAGAGCCACACGGCGTCAAGGCCGAATATCGTCCTGTTGATGGCGGACGACCTTGGCATCGGCGACCCCGGATGCTATGGGAACAAGACCCTCAGGTTTGCACACGCAGCTCCCGTGTGGGCACRTGGCGCTGTTCACCGGCAACGGGCTCCCGTAGAGGTGGACTCAGAGGGACTGAGCTCAGACCACAGGGCAATGTGGAAGTCCCTTCATGTGGGGCACCCCGGGGCGTGGACTGTCCCTGAGTTTGGGCGTGACTTGCAAGACCTCAAAGCCACCCCAGGAGCGTGCCCCTCCAGACGCTCTCTTGCTCTGCCGACGGCCTCCYTGTCCCCCCTTTTGCCCGTTCCGTGTCTTTTCTTGGGCATCAGGCTGGGCTCCAGTTGGTCCCGAGCCTGTGCCACCTCATCGGAGCTYAGGGACCTCTATTGTCCCTTCAAGACCCACCAGCCAGCTCTCTGTCCACCTCCAGCCCACCTGGACTCTCCCGGGCCACCTGGGCTGCAGGGACAGGACACCCCAGYCCGGGGGGCTCATCAGCAAAACATGTCCTGCTCTCARCCCTTGAGGCTRCAGYCCGAGGTCCAGGCGGGGCTGACCGGGGTCAGCTGAGGCTGCTTCCTGCTCCCAGAGGGCACCTTCTCCTGGGTCCTCCGTGGGGGACGGGCAGGGGGCTCTCAGGGTCTCTTTTATAAGGACCCTCGTCCCCTTCATGGGCTGCACCCTGTGACCTCAGCCCTTCCCAGAGCCCCACCTCCAACACCAGAATCGAACATGAGAACTTGGGGACACCCACACTCAGGTCATTGCCCTGGTCAGAGGGCGGGTGCGTCACTGTACGAGTCTCCCTGAGCTGCTGTAACAAAACATTCCAGCCCTGGGGGTTATAGACCCCAGACCCTGACTGCTCTCAGCCCTGCAGCTGCAGCCCAAGGTCCAGGCGGGGCTGASCGGGGTCAGCTGAGGCTGCAAGGTGGAGCAGATTTGGGGCACGCAGCTCACGGGTATTAACAAGCATCTCCCGGAGGAGGACGTCGGGTTGGGAAGCCCTGTGTCCGGAATTGCCGTCACTCGGGAYGTCATGCAAGGGCCCTGTGGTCGCTGTGTGATACGCTATGGGAGTTCCAGACTCCTTTTCTCTCGTGAACAGGGAAGAAACCGTGCTCCCTGTGCAGAAGACCAGTTATCAACTAGATTAAAAGAGAGGGCACCCAGCTCTAAAACCAAATGATCCTTCAAAAAATAATAATGACCACTTGCTTATAAGACATCGCCAAGGGTGCCTCACGTTACGCCTGAGTCTYCTTGACTTTTAGGCATTCATTCATCTATTTTTTAGCTGTCCAGCTTGTCAGGTTATTGTCCTTGGAGGACATGAGTGGACCCCCCGGATCATGGTTTGGTTCCCATCTTGAGTCCCGTGCCCCCACTCGCTCCCCTCCCCTATGTGACACCCAGTTGCCCTCGGTCACTGAGAGGGTTCCCCGTGTCCAGAGGGACCAGGTCAGCTTGGCTTGGACGGTCCTCACCCACGGCACGGTTCTTTCACTCCAGGACCCCCAACATTGACCGGCTGGCCAGCGGGGGGGCCAAGCTGACCCAGCACCTGGCRGCGTCACCCCTGTGCACCCCGAGCAGGGCGTCCTTCATGACGGGCCGGTACTCGGTGCGATCGGGTAGGTGACCATCGTCCTGGGGGACGGCCAGCTCCAGGGTCACTCTGGTTCTTAAGGGCGTCTTCCGTTGGTCCCTCAGGAATGGCGTCCTGGCACAGAATGGGCGTGTACATCTTCGCGGCTTCCTCGGGAGGGCTGCCCCCCAGTGAGGTCACCTTCGCCAAACTTGTGAAGAGCCAGGGCTACTCGACGGCGCTCATAGGTATGGCGTCCTCAGGAGGGTGGGTGCAGGGGGCCTGGGCAGGGCTGGCCAGAGAGCCGGGGAGGCTCGGGCATGCTCAGGGCGCTGTCACCCGCACAGCGCACATCTCTACATAGGATAGACGGATGGATGGATGGATGGATGG